GATGCGGGGCTCGATCCCAGGACCCTGGGATCATGACCTGAGCCGAAGGCAGACGCTTAACGACTGAGCCACCCAGGCGCCCCATAGCTATCCAGTTTTTTGAGTACCATTTGTTGAAGACTACTCTTTTCCCTGTGGAATTGCCCTAGCACATTCATTGAAATTCATTTGACCATATGATGTATGTAATAAGATTTATTTCTGGACTCTTAATTCTAGTTTGGAAATAAATACATTGATTTGTATTGATTTGTCCTAATGCTAGTGAGTAATGGTTTTACAAAGAAGTAAAACTTTTATACCATTATACAAAAGAAAAAAGAATAAATATCCATGTTTTGATAGCCTATGAAATGGTCTATAAATGAGAATCCCTTCTCCTCAGTGAGTATAAATATGTAACTTAAAATATATAACTTAAGTCTCACTAAATTTATCACAACTGTCTTGGTATATACATTGCCACTTCTTAACGTAGGGTAGAATTGTAAACTGCAATTTGGATTCTTAGCCAGCTTTATGAATGTTGATTTTTTTTTTTTTTTTTTCCTTAGTGGCTTGGGAAATGCTTTGATAGAACTGAGCAGTAGAGAGGAGAAAGGATTTTGCAGAAACCTGAGAGTAACTGAAAGTTTTCTAAATTTCTCTGAAATGAATACTTGTCAGTTGCCTAGATTGTAGCTGATGTAATTAGTGTACAAGACACAGGACCTGTCTTCCAGGCACTTGGTCTTAATTGAATTGAGAAAGGCTGTCAAGTTTGGTACTGTTTCAGAACTGCTTTGATGGGAAATGTTAAAGTCAAAGTGACTTCCTCAGAGGTTTATAGTTATTTCTCCACTATTTTCGTGTGCCCATAGTTACTGATGAGAGATGTAATATCAGTTTCATTTCTTACTCTTTTCTGTTAATAACTTTTAGGATTTTTTTCTTTATTTTTGTTTTTCAGTTTTCCAACAGGGTAAGTGTGGGGTTTTCTTTCATTTATCTTATTTAGTGCTGAGTGAGCACTTTTTTTCTTTTCTTTTTTTTTTAAGATTTTATTTTTTGAGAGAGAGAGAGCGCATGAGTTGGGGAGAGGGGCAGAAGGAGAAGCAGACTCCCCACTGAGCAGGGAGCCCAATGTGGGGCTCTGTCCCAGGACCCTGGGATCATAACCTGAGCCGAAGGCAGACGCTTAACGGACTGAGCCACCCAGGTGTCCTGAAGGAGCACTTTGATTCTAAGGACTCTTGTCCTAAACTGTGGACATTCTTGACTTATTTCTTGAGAAAATGCTTCTCTATTTTATATAACTTCCGTAATATTCTGAATAATAGAATTTCTGGATCTATTTTTCATGTTTCTTTTTTTTCTTTGCACTTTTTAAAAATTTTTATGTGCTGTGTTCCAGGTGAGTGCCTCAGTTCTGTTTTACATTTCACTGGTTTGTGCATTAGCTTTGTTTCACAGCTGCTTATTTATCACAGCCTTCCTTTCTCTAATCTCCTGTTCTTAATTTTGGATGATTCCTGCTTTTATTTCTCCGAGGCTCTGACTACTCTTATTTAAACACTTCCCCCCCCCCAATTTGGTCCTTTCAGTTTTAACTCGGTTCTCTTTAGATGTGAGGATTGATCTCTCATTTGTTTGAAGATTGTGTACTTAGATAACCACTTTCTCTTCCTTATGTCCCAATTGCAAATGATCTAATGAGCAGCTTGCTGGGCAGCTCCCTGCCCTAGAAGGTAGCTACTGGCACAGACTTGTCTTTCTTCCAAGACTTCCTCTGTACTTTTTTCATCTGGGATACCTTCTAGCTTCTATTCCAAAGAGAACTCTTTCATGTTTTGGAGTTATTTCTCTGAGTTTTGTATAAGCAGGGGAGATTTCATCCTGTTGATGGAGTTTTCTTGAAACCAGATGAAGTATTTTTTGAATGCTAAGTTTTTATAAGAGGTTGGAAACCCTTGTACTAAACTAACTTAATACAAGAGGACATGGATGGGTTGTATGTCTTTGGAAAAATGGCATTAACTGATAAAATAGGAATGAAAGAAGAAAATTTCCATGGAAGGTGTTTTACAGCTGGTGATGCTGAAGCTCATCCTTAAATACTTAAGGATTTTTATTTGGCAGGTTCTGGAGAGTAGGATGTATTTTATAAAGGCTAGAAGGAAAGTAGATTGGGTTAGCTGAAGAGGTAATGAGGGCCAAGAACCAGAGCTGCAGGTAAAATCTGGTTTGCTTGATGCTGCCCAATAGTGGAACCTCATGATAATGTAGGAGTTCTGAATTTAGAACTTAAAGTGTATATAATAAAAATTACCCTTAAATTCTATGAATTACTTACAAAAGACAGCATCTCATGGCCATATTTTTATCTTACTGGAGATTGGCAATGCACCTCTTGGTAAGTACCACATAGTTTTTCATTAGCAATTACTAGGTTGCTATTGTACTTGCATTTTCAAATTTGTATAGGAATGATCTGTTCTTGATAGAACTTCACTATAAAATTGGTTGGACCCAGCGTTTTTTTTTTGCATTTTAAAGGTACATTTTCTGTGTCTTTTAGAGTTAGTTTTTAAAATTTGTCTTCCTATGAATTTGTCCTTATGTCTTTAAGATATTTTAGCATAAGAGTTCTCTATTTTGGACCTGTATTTTCCCCCATTTTCATTTCTTATTTGCTATATATATATAAATTTATATATATAAATTTCCCCTTGATTATCTTGCCAGAGGTTTGTATATTTTATTTTTCACAGAAATCAGCTATTAGATTTATTTAGTCACTTCTTTTCATTGTCTGATTCATCCTACTTTTGTATTGATTTGTTTGTTTTCCTTAGGCTGCTTTATTTTCTTAAGTTTTATTTTCTTAAGTTGTATGCTTAGGTCATTTATTTGTTCTTGTGTATTAATGAAAGTACTTAAGTAGTTTTGAGTTTTTGCCTCTATTCCCTATTCATTAGATAAGGCTGTTCAGGTTTTTTTTTTTTTTTTAAACACTATAAAATCTCTTCCTTTGACCCCAAATTTGTTTTTAATTATTGACATACAGGCATTAACATACAGAAAAGTGTATGAACGAATTATCCCAGAGTGAACACATCTGTGTAACCAACACAAACAGAACCGTATCAGCTTCTAAAAATCCCCTCACGACTCTCCCTTCCTGATCGCTACTCCACCTTTCTGTTCAAAATTGTTAATACTAGTGTGACTTTTAACCTCATAGATTAATTTTGCCTATTTGGAACTCTTTATGAGCAGAAACCTAGATTGTGTTCATTTGGGTCTAGCTCATTATTTTTGTGTGTAGTTGTAGTTCATTCATGTTCATGCTATATAGTGTTCCACTGTACACTGTACTACCAAATAATTACCCATTTTTCTGTTGATGAATGTTTGTGTTGAGCTGATGTATGATTGATGTATTTCACAGATGATAGAAAAGTCAAGGCATACTCTTTTTGTAGGTGATAACGTATTAATAGATGCATTCAGTTGATGAATTATATTCAGATTTTCTATATCATTACTTAATTTTTACATATTATTGACTTGATAAAGACTAGAAAAAGTACTCTTTTTTGGGGGGGGTCTGTAAATCCTCTCAGTATTTCTGTTATATTTCTCAGTACTCTTGTCAATTCCTCCTTTCTAACAGTTTTTCTTTGTAAAGTTCAGTTGTTAACGTTACTTGGTTTATTGGATGGTTTTATCTTACTTAGGAATTAAATGTTGTAACGAGAGTTTTTGTGGGGGGGGATGGTATTAAATCACTCATGATTTTCCATTCTCAGTTATTAAAAAAAGATAATTCATTAGTGTAGCCTTTGCCATAAATGCAGGAATAGTTACTTAGCAATGTCACCCTGTAACTAGAAGGAGAATCAGTAACAGCAGCAGTGTGTCGTTACATACTTCACTGATCTTTTGGGGTACACTTGCTTTATTAGTGCTTTATTTCAACTTCAGAAATGCCTTTTAGGTAGTTGTAAACTGAGTGGGAAACTATTATGATTTTCACTTTTTAAAATGAACATGTGTAATTTAGACATTATTATGAATTGTATATTGAAAAATTAAAAAAAAACTTGAGTCATAGCAATTTCCAAAAGATCTAAATAAATGAAAAAGAAAAACAGAACTTCTTAATTGGATATAATTTAACATATTTTCTGTGACCTCTTTCATTCTACTTACTTAGCGCAGAGGTTTTTTTGTTTTTGAAATCGAAATATTTACATATAGTAAATATCAAATATCTTGTGTTTGGTGTGATCAGTTTTGATAAATGCAAATTCTGTGTTACCCATTTTACAAACTGTAGAACATTTCCCTCACCCCAGGATGTTTTTGTACTTGTACCTTTTCCCAGTCCTCGTCCCCTCCACCACCCAACTCTGCAAGCAGCTACTGATCTCTTAATAGTTTTGTGCATTCTGGAAGTTAAATGTACAGAATGTAATTTATTTTTGGTTTGGCTTAGTTCACTCAGCATGGTCTTTGAAGTTTACCCATGTTATTGATGGTATGGATAGTCTGGTTGCTTCACGTTCTTGCCAGTCTTGGTTGATTTCAGTCTCTTTCGTTTTAGTCCCTCCAGTGGGTGTTTTAATCATAGTGAATAGGCAATCATTCCTCTACCTCTCAATGTTTGATATTACCTGAATGATAATTTCTGATCCTATGTCATAAGACACTGTATGAGTGAATACTATCGTTTATTTCCTTTGGATGGCCAGTCCTTTGTGCTGTTGTAAATTAAATGAGAATTATAAATTGAAAGTGAATTTAGAAATCATTTAATAGAAACACTGCAGTATATAGGTAGCAGATGGACTTGAAAATTAACTGCCTTATTTAATGTTACATAGCAAGTTAATGCTGAATGTAGGTGTATTGACTTTGATTTAATGTTTTTGACCTAAAGCTTTTTTTTATTTCTGAAAGTGTATTTTATTTGTAATAATGGACATTAAGAGTGTACTTTTTTGTTTCACATTGTTTTCAGGAAATTTTTTTTTTTTTTTAAATAAGTTAGGAGAAAATTTAAAACAGGCTTCATTCATCTAAATTCCCTTTTTTTCTTAGTGTTCCTTTTTTACCCATGTCATGCTTAAGGGAATAAGACCAGAAGAGAAGAAAATAGAAAGATGGGAACAACTCTGATAAAGTTGCAGTTGAGGGTGTCATCATAAGCTCTTTTAATTAGTTTCTTCCCTTTTGAGTTTCAGAATGAATTAAGTCCTATTTAATTCTGCCTTAATGTTCCCAGGTATGCAGGTGCCTTGAGAGCTTCAGGGGAAATGGCTTCAGCACAGTATATTACTGCAGGTCAGTATCTTAAATATACTCCTTTTTTTGACAGGACAGTGTAGTATTCAATAAATGTTATTTTTCACTCACTGGTAGCTTTCTGTTTACAAAATGTGTTTTGTAAAACATCATTTCATTAAAATTGGAGTATTTATACTTAAGCAACTTAAGGACTTAGTTAAATTATAAACCAATGATGTCTGTCTTTTCTGAAAAACAGTCTGGATATTTTTGGATTAAAGTTAATTTTGGCTTTAGGTTCTGTTAGTAAAATACATCTCTGGGGACATCCAGAGATAGGTTTTATTGTAGTTGATGCAATCATTATAAGAGAGAGTCTTAGTGTTAGTGTAAGGAAATCATGAATGAGGTATTAGGAGAAACTGAAATTCTTAAAGGCTAGAAATAACTTACTTCTTCATTACATGCGACCATGTATTCTGTCCCCATTTGTTTTGAGCTAGTTTTACAAATGAATACTCTTAAGGGTTAGGTCGATAGGGTATTTTTATAGCCATGCCTTTTTTGGGGCAGGGGGTGGTAACAGTTTTATTGAGATACAATTCACAGCCCATATAATTTACCCACTTAAAGTGTACAATTCATTGTCTTTTAGTATATGCAGAGCTATGCAGCCATCACCACAGTCAATTTTAGAAAGTTTTCATCAACTTGAAAAAGAAACTAACATTTAGCACTCATCCTGTTTTCTCCTCACCACTCCCAGCCCTATGCAACCACTAATCTACTGTCAGTCTCCATATATTTGCCTGTTCTAGACTTTTGACATAAATGGAATTATACAGTATGTGGTCTTTTTTGACTGGCTTCTTTCACTTAGAATGTTTTCAAGGTTCATTCACATTGTAGTATGTATTAGTACTTTATTCCTTTTTATTGCTGAATGAGATTCTGTTGTGGATATATCACATTCCATTTGTCCTTTCATCCCTGATAGACATTTGGGTGGTTTCCGCTTTCTGACCATTACAAGTATTGCTGAAAACTTGTGCAAGCATTTCTGTGGACATAATGTTTTTATTTCTCTTGGGTATGTATCTAGGAGTGGAATTGCTGGGTCATATGGTAACTGTATTTAACCTTTTGAGGAACTGCCAGACTATTTTCCAAAGCAGTTGGCATCATTTTATATTTCTCCCATGAATGAGGGTTCCAATTTCTCTTGATAATACTCGGTATTGTCTGTCTTTGATTAGAGCCAGCCTAGGGGTGTGAAGTGGTATCTCATTGTGGTCAGCTGTTAATTTGTAATACTATATAAACAGTAGGTTTCTCTGTGTCATTTGGAGTTAGAGATTTTCCTTTGACCTTTGTTTCCTGAAAGTAGATTTATTTGTTGAAATGAAGTTTTTAATGAGAAAAATATGATCACTTATATCTAGTTTACTTGATTGCTTGTGTATCTGAGAGTAACTCAGAATTTCAGCAATTCTTCAGTATCCTATGAGTCTTGTAGTGAAGGGATAAAAGATACTGTTCTTCATTTTTAAATTTTAGTTTGTGCTAAATTATAAGAACAGTTCCAAGAATCCACCAATTATTAACTTTTTGTCACATCTGGCTCATCATTCTCTATAACCATGTTCTTTTTTTTCTGAACCATTTGAGAGTAAGGTACAGACATCCTGTCTTATTCCTAAATACTTCAGTATGTATTTCCCAAGTATAAGTACATTCATAACCACAAGAAAATTACCATTTTTCAAAATCTAGGAGTTTAACATGGATAAAGTACTCTAAAATACAAACTACTTAAATTTTGGCAGTTGACCCAATATTGCCCATTATAAAGTTGTTTTTCTTTTTTGCTTTGGGAGCCAGTTTAGGATCACATATTGATTGCATGTTGTCATGTCCTACTAGTCTCTTTTAATATACAGTGAGTGCATTTTTGACTTTATTTCAAACTAAAGAAATACTTTGAGATGCTCTGTTTATGGGATATGTTAAATCTTAAATCATTTATTTTGAGTAATGTGTACCTTAAAGTGTTAATTACAATTTAGCCTTTTTTATTTTAAGAAACATTAGATTGGTAGTGATAACGTGATTTTTAGCTGTCCCTCCCCGCCAATTTTTTTTTTAAAGATTTTTTTATTTGTCAGAGAGCACACATGCACACAAGCAGCGGGAGCTGCAGAGGGAGAAGGAGAAGCAGGCTCTCCATTGAGCAGGGAGCCTGATGCGGGGCTCGATCCCAGGACGCTGGGATCATGACCTGAGCCGAAGGCAGACACTTAATGACTGAGCCACACAGGCGCCCCCCCCAAAATATTTTTAAACACCATGTTTAGTTGTCTTATTTGGGAACATTTTATTAAACACTGGCTTTGTGCTGAGATATAATATTTGCTGGACTTCGGTTTGAATAATAATGGTAGATAACATTTCACATATTAGTTAACAAAATAAGTTAAGATAGGCTAGACTAGAATTTTGCCGTACATGAAGTAAGGGCAAGGTGTGATAGCTAGGAAGTCAGCAGAGGAAAAGTATTCTGAACTCCCAGAGCAGGGCTGAGTCTATGACCATGAGATTTATGAAGATGAGAGAGGATAGTGGAGGAAAGATTTTGAAGAAGGTTTTTAGCTATCACTAGAGTCAGGAAGTATGTTTAACAGATTTTAAAATTTAGGAGTTGAGTAGATGGGAACCAAGTACAGGCTTAAAGGGAGGTGGATTGAGAGTGGTGACCTGATGGCCTGATAATGGCATAGTACCAGAGCAGTAACATTAGCCTGTTTGATCCCTAGACAGGTTATGTGTTCTCTCTGGTGAATGAATATGCCCTGCTTTGGGAGACAAAGGCTGGCAAGGAGAGAAAGACTGAGGGGCAGGACTCAGAAGTTGTTCATAGGTAGTGATTACATTATAAAGTCTGGTCAGTTCTTCAAGATTTAAAAACAAATCTTTTTCTTACTGGGAATTTGACAGCTACGAAAGGAGTAGATATGCTTAAAAATATTCCTCAGCAGTTTTTGTTTGTATTAATCTAGAATTAATTTACAGTAACATGTATTAAATATGTCACTCTTTTATTAAAGCAGTGTTTGCTTTGTTTTTAAGCCCTTAGAGATTTGTTTGATTCCATGGATAAAACTTCTTCTAGTATTCCACCTATTATTCTACTGCAGTTTTTGCACATGGCTTTTCCACAGTTTGCAGAGAAAGGTGAACAAGGACAATATCTTCAACAGGTAAACAGGGCAAGGTTCTATGGTTTTCATTTTGTAAATGTAAAACTTAGGTGCTGTACACTTACCATGTTTATTTGTATTTCCAAACATACTCCCAATTATCAGTCCTTTCTAGTTGACAACATCATTGTTTCTGGCCCAGAGTGGTCTGTTAACTATTACCTTGCTTCTGTTTTTGTCCTTCTGCAGTGTTTCTCCACACAGCCTCCCGAGTCCTTTATAAAATGTAAATAGGATTATGTTGGTCCCTTGTTCGTTACCTCCTAGTGATTTTCTATCCCCGTCCTGAGTAATCTAGCTCCTGGCTCCCTATCTGAGCTCCTCATGTGCCACTCTCCCCCTTGCTTACTTCTTTGGCTCTCAAACACACTGGCTTCCTGGTTATTTTTTAAACCCTCCAGTATCCACTTTTGCAGGGTCTTTGCTCTTATTTCTTTGGCTCTCAGATAAGTGCATGGCTTGCTTCCTCACCTCGTTCAGGTCTCATAGCTCAAATGTCAAGGCATCACAGAAGTTTTCTTGACTATCCTATTGAAATAGCACACTTCTTTCCCCTCATCACTTTCTGCTCCCATATTGCTTTTTTTTATTCATAACTCTTCTCTTTAGATGAATTTGTTATATTTTGTTTATGTCCCCATGGAGAACTTCTTCTGTTTTGGTTACTGCTGTTTATTCCTGTGTCTAAAAAAGAGGATAGCAGGAAGGGAAGAATGAAGGGGGGGGGAATTGGACGGGGAGACGAACCATGAGAGACTGTGGACTCTGAGAAACAAACTGAGGGTTCTAGAGGGGAGGGGAGTGGGGGGATGGGTTAGCCTGGTGATGGGTATTAAAGAGGGCACATACTGCATGGAGCACTGGGTGTTATACACAAACAATGAATCATGGAACACTACATCAAAAACTAATGATGTAATGTATGGTGATTAACATAACATAATAAAATAAACAGTGGTTAGCATAAGGAGGAGCTCAGTAAACATCTCTTGAATGAATGAGTATTCTGGAATCCTCATTGTTTTGAAGATCCTATAATATCTAATTTGACTTAATATTTTTAAATTTAAAAAAAACCCAGCTTTCTTCCCCTGCCCTAAGGAAGCAGCAATTCTTTTGGAATGATTTTGTAGATAAAACAGTATCAACAGCCAGGATTATTTACTTTGTCATTTTTAAATTACAGGATGCTAATGAATGTTGGATACAAATGATGCGCGTATTGCAACAGAAATTGGAAGCCATAGAGGATGATTCTGTTAAAGAGGTAATTGACACATGTTTGTGATTATAGATTTTTATTATACCTTGATAAGTATACCCCGCGGCCCCAAAAGCTTGAAATAAATTCATCCTAATAGACATGTACTTGAATACTTCAGATGTTCAATCTGTAGTTGGAATTTGAAAGCTTGCATCTGACACTTGAATTCATTGTATTATGTATTAAACTTAATTGATATTATTGAGCATCTGTAGTCTTTTGGTAATGTTTTTTGAACAATAGAAGGATTTTACAGAAAGGGATTACATTTTAAAAAGCTTAAATATGTATTTACTAAACTAGATTGTGTGAGGAAAAATATACATTAGTACCTATATGAAGTAAAATTGGAATTTTTATTTCATTTTAATTTTTGCAGACAGATTCTTCATCTGCATCAGCAGTGACACCTTCTAAAAAGAAAAGTTTAATTGATCAGTTCTTCGGAGTTGAGTTTGAAACTACGTATCCTTATGAGCCAAGATTTGTAGAGACTACTCATAACTTACTAGAAGTGAATTGGTATCAGTAGCATTGTTGACTGATTGGAGTGGTGGGTGGGGTATGTAGAAAAAATCTTCAGAGGCATTTATGCCTAAAAGATAAAATGAAACTTAGGAATTTGTAAAAATACCCCATCAGAGTAATCCTAAAGTTCAGGTAAATGTACACTTTAAGGGTATTATTTTTTCCTAAGAATATCTTTAGCAGATAACTCTTTGTGTTACAACCATTTTAAGACTGTGTAAATACCAACTTATATTTGTTTAGAGTTTATCCTTTTATTATTCATTACTCATATTGTTGGTAAGTGCATGAAGCACTTTAAAGTATGTTGAAACAAATGTGGGAAACCAAAATATTTAAAATACCAATGAACGATGCTATTAATTTTATTAATTCCAGTATAGTTAATATACAGTGTTATATTAATTTCAGATACACAATATAATGATTCAACAGTTCCATACATTACTCAGTGCTCATCACAGTCAGTGTACTCTTAATCCGCATCACCTATTTCACTCATCCCCCACCCACCTCCTTCATTCTTGTTGAGAATGGAATCATATGGTATTTGTCTTTCTCTGACTTATTTCACTTAGCATTATATACCTTGGATCCATCCATGTTGTTGTAAATAGCAAGATTTCATTCTTTTTTATGGCTGAATAATATTCCATTGTATATACCCCCCATGTGATCTTTATCCATTCATCTATCGATGGACACTTGGGTTGCTTCCATAATTTGGCTATTGTAAATGCTGTAATAAACATAGGGGTGCATATGTCTTTTCATGTTAGTGTTTTTGTATTCTTTGGGTAAATACCTAGTAGTGGAATTACTGGATCATATGGTAGTTCTATTTTTAATTTTTCGAGGGGGTTCTATTTTTAATTTTTTGAGGAAACTCCATACTGTTTTCCAGAGTGGCTGCACCAGTTTGCATTCCCACCCACAGTGCATGAGGGTTCCTTTTTCTCCTATAACCTCACCAACACTTGATTTTTTTTTTTTTTTT